GGGGCAGGTGGGGCTGCAGGCGTCGGATTCCCCCACAGTCCTGGGTGCAGCCCACGGTGAGGCCGGCTGTGCCCCTGTAGCCCAGGGAGGCCCACTGGGGAGCAGATCCCCATCTGCAGCCCAGGCAGGACCCCACGCTGGAGCAGGCGGATGCCTGAAGGAAGGAGGCTGTGACCCCATGGGAAGCCTGCACCAGATCAGGTTCCTGGAAAGACTTTGGGGACCTGTGGGGGAGGAGCCCATACCAAGGCAAGTTTGCTGGCAGGACCTGTGACCCCGCAGGGAACCCATGCTGGAGCAGTCTGCTCCTGAGGGACTGCACCCCGTGGGAGGGATGGACCCATGCTGGAGCAGTACATGAAGAACTGTGACCCCATGGGAAGGACTCACATTGGAGAAGTTCGTGGAGGACTGTCTCCTGTGAGAGGGACCCCGCACATGAACAGGGGAAGAGTCCTCTCCCGAGGAAGAAGAAGCGGCAGAGACAACATGTGATGAACTGACCCCAACCCCCATTCCCATCCCCCTGCGGCACTGGGGGGGAGTAGGTAGAGAACCTGGGAGTGAAGTTGAGCCCAGGAAGAAAGGAGGGGTGGCAGAGGAAGGGGTTTTCAGGTTGCGCAGTTTTTATCCTCACCTTCTCTGATATTGGTTGATAATAAATTAAATTAATTTTATCAAATTGAGTCTGTTTTGCCTGTGATGGTAACTGACAAATGATCTCTCCCTGTCCTTATCTCAACTCACGAGCCCTTTGATCTACTCTTCCTTCCTCTCTCCGGTTAAAAGAGGGGAGTGATAGAGCAGCTTTGGTGGGCCCCTGGCATCCAGCCAGGGTCAAACCACCACAGATGTAGATACTGTATCTCCTTGAACAGTGTCATGTAATGCCTGTGCAAGAGTCAGAGTGCCCTTTGAGAGCTGGCTTCTGTAAACATAGCACTGACTGCGCCTAAACACGACCCCAGATTAAGACCTCCAGTGTTGGTGCACCCTGCTAAACATCATAAAATAGCTTACAAAAAAACCCCAAAACATGAAGGTATGGAAGGAAGTCTCTGTCTTGCAGGGTTAAAGGTCTCTAGCCAAATTTCACATATTTGGTTCCTCTGATGAATGCCTTATCTCAGACCTACAGCACGGTTTTTTAGCTAGAAGATTTATCAGTTTACAAGGGAATAAGAATGAGTCAAGGAGACCACGAAGGATCTGCAGAGTCCATACGAAAGAGGAAGGCAGAAAAACATAGCAAAGAGGTGGGCTGTGCAGGAGAGTTACACCTGTTTATACAACTGCTTACAGGGTATACTGCCCAGCAAAGCAACTTTGGCTCTTTGGTGAGGCTGAGCAGTGCAAGGCAGCACCAGAGGCCAGAGGCTAGCAGAGGTTAGATATTGTCCCCTGATGATTTCTGGTTTGAAACCTGAGTGGACTGGAGAAGAAGACTGGGCACAGACAAAGTACATCTCTGGCAGCCAGATGACAATCCCACAGGAAAGTGCTAACTTCAGATAAAATTCACACTGTCATACCTAGCCTGTGGTCTTGAACAGTACCTGAAAGCTTATATTCTGCTGTAACAAGGAGATAGATGAGAGTTTATTGTAGGATATTGTCAGATATCATCCACATATCCCCAACCACTGCTGGTCTAACAGTAGTGATTGCTTTCCGTAGAATGAAGTCTCTTCCTTTATTAGTATGGGATAGCTGGAAGAAACAGTAGTTATAATAATAGACCCACACACAATACAATGTGCAAGCAATTAAGAAATGTGCTGCACTCTGCAGCTTTGACAGACACACAGCCTCAAGACTAGCAGCAGGGCTGAAGTACCCCGTGGATAACTAGAACTGCACATGGAAGCTTTACACCTTGTTATGGTGCTGAGAGGCCACCCACAAGGCTCTAAGCCATAATGGCAGATGTGAAAAGAGAATAGTTCAACCGTGTTTACTCTGAGCGAAAAGAGAAGCAATCCACATGTGGATCACATTCCCAGAATGCCAGGCCAATGCACTACATGCTGGACCAGGCCACTACAGGTAAGAGAGATCTTCACTGAGACCCCTATTAGAGATGCTGAAAAAACAAATAACTCACATTTGCAGAGCTTTTCCAGTGTGTTACTGAGGGCCTCATGCTGTAAATCTTAAAGATCTCCTCAATAGGAATGGTGTTCTGTGAAGACAGGTAGAGACAGGTTCAGCTCTCAGTAGTATTTTTTAAAGTGAATGTATGAAATCCAGCTCATAGCCCCTTTCTTTCTAAAAGAACCTTCATGTGAACTCCTAGTATTGTTTCATGTTGCTAGTACAAATCTATTGAGATCTGGTCATTAAACTTGCTCACCATTTTGCACTTGGGTGAGACAAGATAAGTAACCTATACACATGCATAGGGCCACCTACTGAAACTGCCTATTTTGTTTTCTAAGGTTGAGCAAAATTTAATGGCTACCTGATAAAAATGAGACAGATTTGTAATATTTGCACTCTCTGTATACTGTGCTTTCAATGAACAAAGACATGTGCACAGGGAGTGTTTCTAGGCAGATGCCATAGAGCAAAAGATACTGCTATCTTTCTTGACCTCTTACCATTAATATTCCAGCATATGTAGATAATATCATAGCTTCTCTCTCAGTTCGGTTGGGATACATGTATCGGTTGCGAGCTGCAAAATTCCTGTATGGTGTTTTGAACAGGAAGATTATTAGCCTGGGGTTATAAAAGCAAAAACTAGTCCTGGGCTCGATTCACCACTGCTTTTACTCCATTTTCACACTGGTGTAACCCACTGCAACAGCCGGGCCTTAGCTTTGCAATACTCACATTTTCTCTCTTGTCAGTGCAGTCTCAGCATCCAAGTCACCTAGCCACAGCAAAGCAACACTGAAGGCTAAGTTGTAATGGGCCTGGAAAGACAGAAGTACCTTATGTTTTTTGTTTTACTGTTATTGCTTAACTGAGGGATGACAGAAAGACCAGAGAAATATAGGGAAACGTGAGCCGGAGCCCAGTATTTCTCAACTACACTGGGTAGTTCACCAATTGTATGACACTTACTGAGGTTTGAGGGGTTTTAAACACACCCAGGAAGACTTTCTCATCTTAGCTGAAAGATGTTATGCACAGACAGATTTAGTTTGTGAAGAATTCCCTTTTGTTAATTGACTTCGACTTTATCAATGTCCTCCGTGGATGAGCTTTGCTTGCTGAAAAATCAGCAAAAACTTGGATTATTTTGGATACATTACATCTGGATGCTCTCCACAGCCAATCTCTTTAGATACTCATTTCAGTAATGGGCTTTTACTGATCATTGTAGGAACAGGTTATTCAGCTGTACCAAAGACCCATCCTTCAGAGTTCTCAGCAGCCCTGCAGTTAAAGAGGATAGGAAGTAAGAAGTCTGGTGATTACCATGTCCTCTAGAAAGGTGAGCTGCCTTTGTCCTCTTGGATCAAATTCATCTTCTCGTTGTCTGATGCCAACATAATCTCCCCTTAAAGCAAGAAAAATACTCCAAATTACAACTGGTTCTAAGCAATGCAGTGCATAAGAAATGTAATAGATGACTCTAAAGCCAGTGCAAGACTGGGGCTAAATTAGCTATAATTCAGGGTTAGGAATCTGCTGCAGGATTTCTCACAGACACTTCCTAAGTAGGAAAGCTGTTAGTTTTCTGCGTCACTGCTAATCTTAGCTTCCCTCAGACCACACTGCTGTCTTTCCCCAAAGGCTCCAAAATATAGGAAGAGATACAAATATGAATCAAGTATTTAAAGTCTGGGGACTCACAGAAGGATTTCACTGTACAGCCAAGAGACTGAAAAGGATATTTCACTGGTGCTTGTTCTTCTCATTCAGGCAAGGCCTGATTCTGCAATCTTTCCTCAGACTAGGTCCTACTGATCCATGCAAGCAGTCCTAGGGAAGACGGCCACAGGACTTGCATGGAATAGAGGGGACACTGCTTACATCCCCTAGGAGTAGTCTGCTGGCCATTCCTGCATCCAAGATCATGAAATGCTGCTGCATGAACTGGGAGACTGGTGCTGGCTGCATGGTAATGGGGGAAATTTGCACCTCCCTGGTCACTCCTACTGACACAGAGCAAGTTCTACGCTGTGACATCTCTACTGTCACATTTGCAGTCAGGTCTCACACTGCAGACTGCATGTAAGAAAATGAAGAGCATCTCAAATGAAGTCTGTTCATACTTCCCAGCAAGAGAAGACTAAGGTTTTACAGTTGTCATCCACCTAGGTTGTACAAGCCTTTGCAATGAAAACAAGTCCATCTCAAATGCAATGAAGGCAGTTGTGGGCAGTTACTACTTACAGGAGTTTTTCAATCTCTTTCTTCAGGTGCTTTCTTTCCATACTCTAGCTGTAACATAAGCTCAATGGGATCTAGGAGACAGAAAAGTGCATCCTACCAAGTATCTCTGTCAGTGAGCAAATCTGAATCACAGGCAAAGAGTATGGGACGCTTGGAGACCCCCTGCAAAAATCTGGCCCAAACAATTTCCCAGGTGGGACTGCAATAGAAGCGGAGAACAATCTAGTCAAGAAAGAGAAGACAACATGCACAGTACTGAAAGTGAGGGTACGAGTTTGGTAATGGGAAATGGGCAGAATGAGCCCATTTAAGACAAGCATCAGTCTTGAGTGTCAGCTTGCAGGTTGCCTATATCCCCATCACCGTGATGTATATTCTCTCATATAATGCAATCTATTGACCTGCTGCCACTTCTGAGTTTCTTAGGACATGCCTTGCTCTTCCCTCTGTGTGTGTATTAATCAGATCTATGTGGTACAAAGGGGATTGTCTGGGAAGAGGACAGACTGGAAGAGATGAGGTAAGAGCTGGCCTGACAGGACACAGCAAAGAGAGCAGCTAGCACCTGACCCACCAATTTGTTGTAAAATCAAAGTGCATGCTTCACTCTGCTCCATAATACACAAAGTAATGACATACCTAGTAAGCTCTCTGTGTTACTTGATATTGTCCCCCTATTCTCTCTCTCATACATGTACACAAGAAATTACACACTACCTGTGTCAACTCTTGGAATAGGCTTCAGGATCTGGGTTTGGAGCCTCTCTGACTTCAGGTATCTATGAGGAGGAATTCCCTCTTCATGCTGCTGTTCCTTTCTTGCATCTGCCACTCAGTTTATGTGCCAGGGAAATTAGGCTATGGCTTCATGCAGGACTGCAGCTTTCTCCTGTTGCTTAGAAACAATGCTGCTGAGCTGAAAGAAATTAAAAGGAAAAAAACCCCACAAAACAACACAGAGAAGAGGTTAAACCTGCACCTTCAGGTTGGGTTATCAGTTTCAAGCTAATGATCCTTTTACACTTCTAGGCATTGAGTTTCACTGCTGAGTGGCTAGTTGGAAACATAGAAGACTTGCTAACAAGGAAGGCAGAGACTATTCACTGAGTTTTCTGGTGGATCTAATTGCTTGTAAAAGATGCTATCAGCTTCCACTGTTCCAGCATTCCACCAAATGGAACAGTGAAAAACTAGACCTGATACCTCCCAAGAGCCCATCTGGGGTTCCAGTTGCAGTGTTTATGGCATATAGCAAGGATCCTGGTATTTGTTCTTTCATCAATATTATGTTTTTTTCTTATAGTATTAGAAGAAATTCTAACAGCCAAGAAATCCCAACATGACTTACTAAATCCTGCTGTTGTCCTCCCAATGGATGCAGGGCACATCTTGCACAGGATTGCTGATGGTAGCCAACGCATCACGATGAGTAACAAGTCAGTGAGAGACTATTGGATTTTATAGATTAGGAAGGTTTGAAGGCTGTACTTCTGAAAGGAATGAGCTATCCTCCTTGTTGGGAATGTACTTCTCATGTTATTAATTGATTACCTAGAAAACAATAGGCATGGGTTTATGAGACAGGATCATAATGTTGCCTCTCTTTGTGATGGCCTAAGAAAAGATAAAAGCAAATGTATTATCATGAGACATAGATGTTTCCCGGAAAAAGCCTACTTGGTATTTACAGAATTTGTGCTGTGCTTTCTCTTCCTTATTTCATTTCACTGCTCTCTTTCCAAAGCCCAAGTGTTAGGCAAGTGCCTAGGCAGGTGCAACAGGTAAAGGTCTTTGCCATAGTAATGGAAATCCAGGTGGGCAGCTACTGGGGGAGGGCTGGAGTTTGGGAATGGCCCCTCCTAGCAGCATTAGATGCTTATGGCCATTCTCATTAATTCTACCGCAAAAGGAGCACCAAGCTCAGCACTTCCCCACCTTTTGTTCCAGCTGCAGGCCTTGTAATCAAGTTAGATTTGATTTCTGAGGGCATCAGCCTGGCAGGCAACATGGCAGCCCCATGTCTCCAGTAGAGCTGCTGCTTGTTTGCTTTGAGAAACACAGATCAACTGTCTGCCTTTCCTCTAGTTACACCTCCCCAAGGGCTTATCTGCTGGTATGGCTGGGCAAGAGTGAAAAGTGACCTTCACAAAGTGAACACAGCCATGCCAGGACTGACCCAAAGTCCTGCTTATGCAGCACCTCTTCTATTATGTGACAAGGGCAATACCGTGATGAAGAAAGTGACTTCCCTGAAATGAGGCTGTTCCCTAGCCCTGAGGTGAACTGATCCCTGCTGTTTTCCCAAAAGCAAGAAACCCAAGGCAGGGAGGCGGGTGGGCACTGTGTTTGTGCTCTTCCTGGGAAAAAAAACCAAACAAGCAGCCACTAGGGGGTGCCTGGGGAAGCAATGGAAGAGCTGCACCAGTAGCTGTCAAACTTTCTCAGTGTATTTCCCCATTCTCCAGTGATTTGCAGCTCAGGACCTTCTTGAGCAAAAAGTGGTGTTAATAGCTCTTGCTTGTTTTTCACTTCCACCAACTTGTCCAATCACTTTTTGAAACCTGAGTAACTGACTTCTGCAATATCATCTGGCAAAGATTTCCGCAGTTTAAATAGGGCCATGTGGGAAAGGGTTTCTGGTTTTAAGCTGTCCACTGTTAATTTAATTTGCTAACCAGTGTGCTTAATAAACTTAGTAAAGTAACTTAGTAAACTTCATAAGAGCAAGTTTAGGCCCCTTGAACCATGGAATTTGTCACACATGGAGCACAGAATACATATTAGAGAAGGATACTTAAGTCTTTTCCCCACACCATAGCGCATTTAATGCTAGTCACAGGTTCCCCAGAGCAAGAAATAAAGCAATAGGCAGGTCTGCATGTCTGCAGCATTGTTTTCCACTGCAGGTCTGATTTTCAGGGCTGGTGTAGAGGGTGTTTTGTCAATCTGCTACTTAATTAAGTCGGAAGGAATAAATTTATTTAATAATTTGCATGATTTAATGTTAATCAGCTAATGTATTAACAAGTACCACATAAAATAGTAATAGGAGTAGGATTTAGGACTCTTGCAGAGGGCTACCATTCACATGTGTGTGACAGCAGGTAAAAGTGGTTTTGCCACCCTTATTTGTATTGCAAATTCCCTCTGCACCTCCGCTGTAAATTGCTGTTCTGCAAATTATTTTGCTGTTTACTGAAAATATTTAACATCTGCACATGCAATGTCAACTTCTTGAGGACAAATTCAGAGGTGTCTGGAAACCAATACATTCACTTTGACTGGAGCACCTCTCCTATGAGGACAGGCTGAGAGAGTTGGGCTTATTCAGCCTGGAGAAGAGAAGGCTGCGGGGAGACCTGATTGCGGCCTTTCAATACCTAAAGGGGGCCTATAGAAAAGATGGGGAAAATCTTTGTAGTAGGGCCAGCTGTGACAGGACAAGGGGTAATGGTTTTAAACTGAAGCAGGGTAGGTTTAGGGTGGATATAAGGAAGAAATTCTTTACAATGAGGGTAGTGAAACACTGGAACAGGTTGCCAGAGAGGCAGTGGAGGCCCCATCCCTGGAAGCATTCAAGACCAGGTTGGACGGGGCTCTGAGCAACCTGATCTAGTTAGCGGTGTCCCTGCTCCCTGCAGGGGGGTTGGACTAGATGACCTCTAGGGGTCCCTTCCAACCCAAAACATTCTATGATTCTATGACTGAAATATAAATTACTTCAGAAAAAAGAAATTCCTTTTAATAGACTGTAAAATGTCACCTCTTCGCAGGAGAAAGCTTGGAAGCCAGATGCTGAATTCTGCGGACGAACAAACCCTAACTTTTGGGCGAGACTGGTCCTTCGGGGCAACCCTGGGGCTTTTCTGAGGCGTTTCAGGAGCGTTTTAGCTCTGCGTGGCCGGGGTAAGCTGGCGCAGCAGCGCCGAGGGCCCTCGCTGGCGCCTCACGAGCACGGCCTCAAAGTTGGGCGCTCCCAGCCAGAAGGGCGGCGGGGCCGCGGCGGCTGAGAAGGCGGCATTTCGGGGACAGCTTTCCCAGTGAGGGTGGAGAGCTCCCCCGCAGTGGCGGCAACCCGGCCCGGCCCGG